AGCTCCAGGACAAATTTTCGTCAATATATATTCCAAGAAACTTTGTAACCTTTTCCCTTTTTAAAGTAATATTGTTGATTAAAAGATCTGGCATGATATGTGGAAGTTTCTGTTTTTTAGAAGGCGGATAAAAGAGTTTGTTAAAGGCGGATAAAAAAACTTCTTGCTTAAAAGGCAAGCTCACTACCTCTACATCACTACTGCATACCGTCACGATCATTTCACAATCGCCCTTGTCATTTTTTCATGTTATAAGAAATATATTTACAAATTTTTTTAAAAATTGCTTTTTTTTCTCTTACATCACAATATAACAAAACAAAAATAACTTGGTTTAAGATAATATCTTAAGTCAATTAGAAAACAGTGTTTATATATTTTTTGATTTTGATGTCAGAGAAAAAATAGCAATTTTTTTTTTAAGTTTTTTAATAATTCCCATAACATGAAAAAACGATTTGTGATAGCGATTGTAAAATGATCGTAATGATATTTTAAAGAAATCGGTTTAGCTGGTCTGCGTTTTGACGTAGCATGTTTGTTTATTTGCCTTATCCAAAATGGTTAAAATGTTTTCTTGTTAAAAATATTTTCTCAACACTTTCATCATGTTAGATCTCCTATTCAGAAGTCACATTTAATCAATTTAAAAATTGTTGTTGTTCCTAATAAATCATTGGCTTCTAAAATTACTACTCATTGAAACTTATTCCTGTTTTTATTTTATTTTATTCGTTTTGGTATTTGTTGTTCTTAATTAATTTATGTCAGTGTATATTAAAAGACGCAATTTGATTTATTTATTAAGAATTTTTTTTTAAAGCTATATGGAAGTATTTGAACTTTAGCTTTTATTTTTTGTATATTGTGTCATTTGCATATATATATATATATATATATATATATATATATATATATATATATATATATATATATATATATATATATATATATATATATATATATATATATATATATATATATATATATATATATATATATATATATATATATATATATATATATATATTTATTTATATATATATATATTATTTATATATATATTATATATTATTTATATATATATATATATATATATATATAAATAATATATAATATATATATAAATAATATATATATATATAAATAAATATATATATATATATATATATATATATATATATATATATATATATATATATATATATATATATATATATATATATATATATATATATATATATATATATATATATATATATATATATATATATATATATATATATATATATATATATTTATTTATTTATTTATTTATTTCAAAATTAGTACAAATAATTCCATATAAATACAAGTGTGCAATAAAATAGTCCATGTCCTATCATGTTTATTGAAGAATACAAAAAACACTTTTATGTACATCTTGTAGTGTAAATGTAATTTATACTAATGAAGAAGCTTCATCAGGTTCTCCTATGTTGACCCAGTTAAGCTGCAAAAAGCAGCTGGTCAAGAAATTTACAATAAAAATTCTTTAAAGAAATATACAGATGGTGAATCAACTGCTTGCTGTGAAAGAGCGTTTCATTGTTTTGTTACTCTATTTGTAAAAAAGTTTTCTCGTTCAATACAACCTTTGACTAGTTGAGGCATTAATCGCTGATTGTGTCCATGGAGATTGTAATTTGTTTTTGAATTTATTAGAGTTTGAGGGAAATAAAAGTTAACTTTGTCAATCTGTTGAGTATCTGTTGAATTTAAACTGCTGGATTAGGTCACCTCGTTTCCTGCAATCCTCAAGCGATATTAGTTTCAGCTTTTGTAATCTTTCCTCATATGGTAAATGTTTTATCTCAGATATTGTTTTTGTAACACGTCTTTGCACTTTCTCCATCATCACAATATCTTTTTTTAGGTGAGGAGACCAAACCTGTACTTTAAAATCTAGATGTGGACAAATGTATGCAAGGTACAGTGTTTTCCATAAAACTAGTCTGCGGCTACAAAAAGCTTTTCGGAGACGATTGAACATTTGATTCACAATTGAGACTGCTGTTTCAACTTGAGTTTTGACCTTTAAGTCATTGGAAACAATAACCCTAAGGTCTGGCTCCATTATTGTTTCTTCCAGTGTACAAGGAGTTAACCAATTCTTAACCCATTTAAGCAGGGTTTCACTAATCCCATAGGCTTGCAGTTTGTATATCAGGCGTCTGTGCTTTGGCAAAGTCTGTATAAATTATATCTGCAGGAAACTCTAGGTGCATGCTTTGTGTAAGTATGTCATGTGCTTCAAGAAGATTTGTGACACACCCTCGCTTAGGAACAAAACCATGTTGAGCTTTGGATATAAGATTATGTTTTGTGCAAAACTTCATTATAAAATCATGTATGAGACTTTCCATGACTTTGCAGACTATGGATGTTAGTGATATTGGTCTGTAATTTGATGTTTGAAGTTTACTTTTTTAAAAAATGGTGTAATATTAGATTTTTTCCACTAATCTGGAACATCACCCGTGGATATATATTTCTTGTAGATTATTGTGATTGGGATTGCAAAAGATGTTGCACACTTTTTAAGAATGCGTGGGTGTATTTCGTCATATGGCCTTATTTTCAGATAACCCTTTTAGTTTTTTTTCTACTTCACGCTCATGAATGCTATCTTCATCAAACTGACATATGGTTTGTGTGTGTAGATTAAAATATGGCATAGAACCTTCTTATTCAACTGCAAACACTGTCTGGAAATAATTATTTAGTAATGCGCAAATTTCTTCTTTTTTTGTAGTGGTTGAGTTGTTCATTGTTTGTAGGCTGCGAATTTGTTCATGAACTCGTTGTTTGCTGCGAATATGTAAGTGTAGGCTTTTTGAGTTAGACTTAGAAGCAATAACTAAATCATCTTCATATGAAAGTATGGCGTCTTTAACAACCTTTTTAACATTTTTGCATGCAACTTTATGTGCATTTCGTAAATTGTTATGAGTATGGCAGCCTGCAGCTATGTATTTGAGCCATAATGTATGTTTTTCTTTTACTGCTGCTTTTACCTCTGCTGTAACCCAAGGTGCATTTTTTATTTTAGGTGAAACTAAAGTTGATGGTATGTGTTCTTTAATGTATTTTTTGTATATATTAACAAGGTAGGAAAAATTATCGTTTGCTGTATGACCACATGGTCATACAGCTAATGATAATTTTTCCTACCACAAACATGGTATGCCAGTTGTTTGAAGCTATTTTTGTTGATATTGCATCATAGTTGGCTCAATTCCAGATAAGACAAAGACGTGAGAGTTTTGGTGCTGTTTCTTTTAAATGAACAGCCAATATACCAGCAATAACACAGTGTGATTGACCTGTTTTTGTAAACCCCAGTGGGCCATCTTCTGAGACTTTTATGAACCTATCTGGATCATCACTAATAATTAGGTCAAGTGTTGATGACGGTTCAACAAGATTGGAATGACGGTAGATTGGAAAAGTTATTAGCTGTGTTAAGTTATTATCTTCTAAACAAGATTGGAGTCTCAAATCTCTAGGGCATTCTTTTATCACATGTCCAACGGTTGTGACTTTACCATTTATTTCAATAGACTAATATCATGTGTGGCTTAAATTAAAATCACCATATAATAACATACAGGAGCAGTTATAAGTTAACATGCCCTGTTTGGCCGTTGTAATTGATTCAATTGTTTGAGTAAGGACAATGTCATTAATGTCACGAGGTCTATATATACAACCTAGTAACAATGATTCACCATCAAATTTAATTATACACCATACTTGTTCAATAGCTTTAGAATTAAGTTGCTTATTTCTAACTTCTGTTGTAATTATATCAGTTCTTGTGTATATTGCAACACCTCCTCTGCTTTCTTTGTCTTCATTGTTCATATCCTTTTACAACTGTGTCAGATGTATTATCATACGATGTTTCCGCAAGAAAAATTATATGAGGTCTTTCATGCATTGGTTTGGATGAAATTCTAGCTATAAGTTCTCCTTTTTTAAAATTGTTTAATGAACATGGGTTGTTTGCCCAGAAACATAGTTGTCCTGATATTAATGAAGATGAAGTTGATGATTTTTAAGATAACTGTGAGAGGTTGGGTTTTGACTTTAATTTCAATCTTATTTGGCAGATTCTTTTGTTATTACTTTTCTGGTGTATCTCAGGTTTTGAGATTGTTAAGTGTGGTAAATGAAATTGTGATGGTAGCTGATGTACTGTTTACTTCAATATTGCTACTATTGATGTTACTTTGTTGGCTTTTGAGTGCAATTGTTGGTGATTTAAAAACATACTGTTTACTTCTGGTTGATTCAATAACATCGATGCAGACAATTTTACCGGTGTGGTGATGGATAATGTTCCGAAATGGCTGATCTAGCAGCCCTGCAGCTTCTTGATTTTGTTTGACTATTTATGATTGCTTGGCATTAAAATCAGCCTGCTCAGCAGGAGTTCTTCGTGAACAAAAAAAACTTTCTCATATTGCTTAATGGTATGATGTCTGCAGGTGTTTAGAACTAACTCTTTCTCTATTTTATTTGAGATGATGTTAGAGTTAGATTTATTTGACCTTCCTTTTAGTTTGCTTGATTTTATTCTTCGAATATGCTTAATTTCAACATTTTCTAGTCCAACAGCTCCAAAAAAATCCATCACTTGTTTACTATCTTCAACTGCATTATTTTCTAAGATTCCAATAACAATGACATTTAACACCCAATCAAGAGAATTAAATGTCATTGTTATTGGAATCTTAGAAAATAATGCAGTTGAGGATAGTAAACAAGTGATGGATTTTTTTGGAGCTGTTGGACTAGAAAATGTTGAAATTAAGCATATTGAAGAATAAAATCAAACAAACTAAATCTCAAATAATATATATATATATATATATATATATATATATATATATATATATATATATATATATATATATATATATATATATATATATATATATATATATATATAATTTAGCAAAAAAAATGAAAAAATGAGCTTTCATGAAGATATTTTATTAGAGATTTTCTATAACTGTGAACCTAAGACAATTTTAAAATGTTCTTTGGTATGTAAATACTGGAACCATGTATCAAAATTGCAAATACTCTGGATGAAAAATGTTCTTAAAAGTTGGCCATCACAACGGTGGTTATATGGTAAAGCAAGTGTTTCACATTTAAACTGGATGAAAGTTTGTCAAGAACTATTTCAATATTCATATTATACCCCTGATCAAATGAAGTATTTTGTTACATGCAATACTTTTGAAAATGAGCTTATTTCTCCCATTCTTCGCAAAGCTATGTTCGAGCAAGTGGAATATATTTCTCAAAAATGGCTTCAGGTTTACTTTTAATGTTCTTTTTTATTTTATGTTTGGTATTAATGAATAGCAATTTTTAGAAAAATGCTATTCATTAATACCAAACATAAAATTTTTGTAAAAAAAAAAACTTCATTGCTATTCTTTGCAACATTTATCATTTGGATTAAAATAAAGTTTTAGTGTTTTAATGTTCTAGTGTTTTAGTGTTCTAGTGTTCTAGTGTTTTAGTGTTCTAGTATATTAGTGTTCTAGTGTTTTAGTGTTCTAGTGTTTTAGTGTTCTAGTGTTTTAGTGTTCTAGTGTTTTAGTGTTCTAGTGTTTTAGTGTTCTAATGTTTTAGTGTTCTAGTGTTTTAATGTTCTAGTATTTTAGTGTTCTAGTGTTTTAGTGTTCTAATGTTTTAGTGTTCTAGTGTTTTAGTGTTCTAATGTTTTAGTGTTCTAGTGTTTTAGTGTTTTAGTGTTCTAGTGTTTTAGTGTTCTAATGTTTTAGTGTTCTAGTGTTTTAGTGTTTTAGTGTTCTAGTGTTTTAGTGTTCTAGTGTTTTAGTGTTCTAGACAAAGTGTAACAGAGTTAAGGCAATTTTAGTTATTTTAGAGAAAATAATAGTTATTATAAATATATTATATATTTATACTAGAAAACAAAAATCATGAGAACTTTTAATAAAAAGTTTGCAAAAGAAAAAAATAATTTATTTCCATTAAAAATCAATATCTATTTACTGGTTTAATGAGTATAAATTTTTTTTCTATAGAAAAATCTAGTTATTTGGTATTTGGTATATTAATTAAATTTGGAAACTAAAATTATTTTAGAACTTTTTAAATGTAATTGTTTTCATTTTAGTTTATAGGTGAATAAAGGTTGATTATTATAAAATAAATTTCACTGTATATTTAATAATAATATTTAAAGTTGGATTTATATTTGTTTTAAAATAGATATAAAACCACCAGTTTGACTGTGGGTAAGCCTAAGGGTAGGGTGATGGTAATCCTCTGAGTTGTAGTATTACAATATAAATACTCCGTCCTTATTATTATATTTCTTTTTGTTATATATCTGCAAAACAGGTTGATTAACAAAATATTATTGCACTTAATTTTAATATTTTAAAACTTTTAGTTATAAAAGTTTTAAATTTATGAGTTATAAAAGTGTTTGAGATTATTATTATTTATTTATAGAAGATGTATCAAAGATTTCAAGATTATTTACAACCAGATGTCCTTATGTTTTAGGATATAAAGGAATTAGTAAAGAGATTAAGGATGTTCATTAAATCATTTTGATGATGAATTAATGAACATCTAAATTATGTTAGATGTTCATTAAATCATTTTGCTTTTTTTTTAATTTCATTATTCATTAATTGAATTAAGAAATTGTGAAGATATTTTTTTTTTTTTTAGTTTTATCAGATTATTTATAACGCTATTTAGATATTTATGTATCTATTTTTTGCATATTTTTTAAATCAGTATCTATTCTACAAGGTAGATTTAGAACAATTACCTAGTCAGATTGCTTAGATCTTTTGTTCTTATTGCATTTTCTTTATCTGGTGTTGTCTTTATCTGGCATTATCAATTTGTTTTGTTTAACTCTTATTTTAGCCTTTTCTTTATTGAATTTCTATTATGAACTATCAATGATAGTTATTGTTTTCTCTGTTAGAATATAACATATTTGGTTGTGCATTTAACTTTAGAATTTAGTTTCTAAAATTACAAAGAGCAGAATACTGTCAAAATCAAGAGACTTTGTGGATTATGCATACTTCATAAATATTGAATTCAGGAGCATCCGTAGCAGTTGTTTTTAGCAACCATTTGAATATATAAATTTTATTTATTTTGATATCAATAATATAATAGCTGTTAAAAAAATAATTCATTAAGTATTAAGATTAATTATATTCATATGAAATTAAACAAATAAATTTATTATATATTTGTATGTATTTATATAAATATGTAAAAGTTATATATTTGTAGGATTTTCAAAATAATTAAATAAATAATTATTTAATTTCTGTAGTGAAATTTTTGATTTTTTAAAATAATGTCAAAAGTGATATTAAAATGTTTCACTGGATGATGATATATAAAATGTTTCACTGGATGTCGATATATAAACTAATTGATTAAATACTTAAAAGGCATGAAAATAATTTATTTTTTATTGTTATAATTAACTACTAAGTAGTAATTACAGCATTATATAATCAGGGAATCAATGACCTAGGTAATTATATATTAGATTGGAAATCAATCAGAAAGAAATAGCTTAACCTTTTTTTAGGGGAAGGGGGTTGATAGTATAATGTGTTTTACAAAAAAAAATTTTTATGAAATATTATAAATAAAAAATCTGTTTTGACCACATATTGTCATAACACCACATATTGTCATGACACCACACGACTCTGGTTGCTGCTTCTCCAGACTAAAAGTATTTAACCATTGTCGGCTAATATATTTATTTTCCACTTTTTTTTTTTTAATTTCTATTAATATATTTATTTTGTTCTTTTTTTTTTTTTTATTTCTATTAATATATTCATTTTGTGCTTAGACTTCATCTTTTGATCAAGATGACAAATCTCAAGTGTTTGACAAAAATATGGAATTATACTTTAATATAAAAGAGTTACGCTGGGTTTTTCTTGACAAAAGAAGAGGATATATGTCAGATTTATTTCCCCACAAAAAAAAGGATAAATTTTATGATAGAATCTGCAACATACGTGCCTATCAAGTAATTCCAAGTTGTTTGCTAATGTATCGCTGGTTGTGTATTTTTAGGGTTTTTCTTACTGCTGAAACTGGTTTGACGTTTTATCGTATATGGAGGTAAAATTTTTAAATTTTTAACTCTAAATTATTTTTTTTTATAGTATTTGATAAAGTGAAAATAATAAATAGTTAAATTTTGATGCAATAATTTTATATTGCTAGTTATTTATATATTATAGCTATATTTTTATACTATATGTTTTTGTATTGTATATTAATTTATTTTATATATTAAGTTATTTTATATAGTGTATAATATAATATTACATTATTTCTTGTAATATTTTTGTAAAGAAAATTTTTTTATTTAATTTTGATTATAAATTTTACAAGATATGTAGATAATTGTTCATGGTGATGGCAGCATTACCATGACATCTATGACAGGTGCAGTATTTTGACAAACTGACAAGTTAACAGCTTGACAGGTGGCAGGTGTTTTGACAAACCTAGAAATTAGTAACATAAGTTTGAAGTATAAAAAATTTATTTTAATTTTAGTTTCTTTTAGTTTAATTTAAATTTTATAGATTTAGACTGAAACACTATAAAACAGGATTAATATTTGAGCTATGTGATTGGAAAGCTGGAATGTCTTCAACATTTGCTCATGGTTCTCCAGCTTCGGATGTATACCGTGAAGATTGTTTAGAGCTTTTGCAACTGCTTACTCATCCACATTTTATCATGCACCCATTAGGGTTGAACTCTAAAACTGAGAGTTTATATAACTCAATGATACGGGCGTCAGCAGGTGGTTGTATGAGGAATGCATCTAAATGTCAGAAAAGGAAAATTTTAAAGCAGAAAGAAACATATTCACCTACAAAAAAAAAAAGCCCTTTAATATCTCCAACAACTAATACTCCTTTTATGGTAGGAAGTTCCCTTGATAATTCATGTTTTGTTGATTTGTCAGATCGACTTGAAAAATGGAGAGTCAAAAGAAAAGAAAGCCTGCTTAAACATTCTACATCCAGTCTTAATGCAGATGTATGTTTAAATTTTATTTCTAAAATAGATAGTGAGTTGTCAAGTGCTTCTAGTGATAGTAGTCTTAATGAAATCGAAATTGAAGAACCCCTGAAAGAATTAAATGCTGAGTCAGATATAGACTTATATGACGGTGGTTACATTTTAAATTGTGAATACTATATATCAAGTTCACAACATACTGATTCAATAGAAGAGCAACATAACTTGCAGGCTACTATTGCAGAATATTGGGCACTGACTCAGAAAGAATATTTACTACAAATACCTGTTGTTTATGATATTGAAGATGATTATTGGTACTTCCAACCACAAGATGAAATTAGTTGTTTAGATACTTTAAATGCAACAAATAAAATTTCCACTTGTGCGAAGGAACCAGAATCAAATAAATGTTCGTTACAGTTTTTAGAAAATTCCAATGAGATCATTTTGGTAGATACTATACCAAGTGCATTAATGCTTTACAGGTTTGTTTTTATTTTATTTTAACATTATGAATTAAATTATTTTAATGGATTTTTTAGATATTTAGTAATTTTTATAAAAGATTTGCTATTTAGAACATTTATTATTGAACTTTATACAAATTTATGGAAAAAAATTATAAAGAATATTAGTTTTTCATTTCATACTAAATATTTCATACTTTTAGAAACTTAAACTATTTTCTTGAATAATTTTATTAAATCTTACTTTATGTTAGTATAAATTCATATGACCGAAATATCTATTTGTTATAAGGTTAAAATTGTAATTTATATCTAGTTTTTTTTCTGCCATCCCAATATAGGCAAATTACAGAATCTTAATTACAGAAATTTTAATCAAGTTAAATTCAAAAAAATTTGGGCGGCGGTACCCTTTGTCTCGGAGATATTTAGCGGAAAATCAGCATTTTTTAGCAAAAAATATATATACTTGGCGTATATATATATTTTCCCTATATATGTAAGAATAGCGGGCTTTGGTGTTAGACAAAACATTTTTACAATAGTTTCTAGCAATAGTAAACAGACATCTGTTTTCTGGAGAATTGTTTTGCTGAGAGAAATGAAATTAATGTTTATAATTAGAAAATTGCAGCAGCACATTGAGAAGGAAATTATCGAGAAGAGCTAGACTTGAGTTGGAAAGTTGACTGTTTGTGTTAGAGATTGTGAAAGACAAAAGTTGTGGGCCTTAATGCCTGCAGATTCACTGACACTAGAGTCAAACCAGTGTGATGAGCATTAAAGTCACCAACAACAACGATATTGGCTGAAGGATAAAGAGAAATGTTTTCAGAAATAACATCGAAAAGAGTGCAGTCTTGAGATAAAGGACAGCGATATAAAACAAAGAGTAAGACGATAGAGTGATATGGTGCTAAGCGAAAGCACATAAAAGAATTGCCTGTGGATTCAAATTAGATTAACTAGGTTCTGTACATTGTTGTAGTATATGTATACAGTTATCATTAAATTAAATATATATATATATATATATATATATATATATATATATATATATATATATATATATATATATATATATATACAGGGCTCGAATTAAGTGATAGCAAATTGCAATATCCGTTGTCATTAAATTCTTAGTTTCAAAAAAAACTGTTAACACTGTTTTAATGAAACGGTCAGTTTATCATATTGCAAAAATCAATGAAAAAGCAAAACAATAAATTTACTACTGCAAAAATAATAAGAGTCAAAAATTACATATTATTAGTTATTGTATAATTATTAATAATATGTAATTTAAGGGTTATAAATAAAAAAAAGTATTATACAATAATTAATAATATGTAATTTAAGGGTTATAAATAAAAAAAAAATGCAAGACAAAAATTATTATTAATAAAGGTCCGAAAAACTTTCGCGGTAATTTAAAAATCAGCCAATTAAAAACAATGCTAAAGCTACTTGCGCATTTTATAAAACATTAAAATAGATTTTTATTTAGGGGGAAAGTTTATGGAATTATTTAAAAATTTAAATGTTTTAAATTAGAATTTAATTATTTAATAAGAAAAAAATTATAAAGTATATTTTTTTTAAATATGTTATTAGAGTTTCTTTTTTTTTTTTTTTTTTTTAAAGTAACTATTAAAAAATTTAAATTAGTTTTTATATATTAACTCCTCCGTCTTTTAATTTTATATTTGTATCAGCTAAAGTGTTACAAGCGTTAAATTTATAAGAAAATATTGAATGAGATTTAAATAACATATAAAAGTATTTTATATCTTAATTAACAATTTCTTTTATTTAAAATATTCGATCACTGTTAAAGTCCTTTATATACTTGTGATTAGCGCTTGTTTTTTAATATTTATATCATACTTAGCGTACTTTATTTTTCTAGTTTTATCTGATGTTTAAATTATAATCTTTAATGATAATAAAAATAATAGTGATAATATGGTTTTACATTAAGATTTTATATCATAACCGACGTAAATATTTTTTATTAAATGATATCTATTGAGCTTAGTGATCAAAACAGTTTTACCGTTTTTAAAAAGCTAAAATTTTAGATAATTAGAAAGACCGGAAGCATTTCCAGATATCGCAATTCGCGATCATTTAATTCGAGCCCTGATATATATATATATATATATATATATATATATATATATATATATATATATATATATATATATATATATATATATATATATATATATATATATATATATATATATATATATATATCAGGGCTTGTGATGAAGAAAATTGCCAAGCGTATTATATCAGGCTTTTAAAATTATAATATGTTATCATCGAGCATGATTATGCACACTCGAGATAACATCGGTGAGAGCGATAGTGAAATTTGAAAATTGCTGAAGATCGTGCTCCTAAGCTTTTTATTTGTTATATTTATTCTTTCATCAAATGTTTGAAGTAGTGTCTAAAACAGCGCACTCATGACACTACTTAAACAAAGTAAATTTTTGTTTGTCACTGTTTCCTCAAACATTTACTTTTGCGGTACTTATCTTAATTGAATCATAGCAAAAGACATAAGCAATTATTTTGGTTATTATTTGTAAAAGTAAACATTTTTAATGATAAATTTAAATCAAAACTTTTTTTAAAATATATTTTATAAACATCGGTTTTATATAGTATCTTTAAAGGATAAAATGTTCACACTTTTAACTAATGTTTAGTAACATGAGTTTTTGACTTTTTTAATGTTGCAGATGAATGAATAATAAAAAAGAGTTAACGATTTTTAGTTAATGCTACATAAGTGTCGTTAGTTAAAAATGTTAGTTTCAACTGTGTCATTAAAAAAGAATTCTGTAGAAAAAAAGAACGCAGTAATGTTGTTTAAAAAAAGTTTCTTTTATTTTAATTAGGTTTTTTTAAGTTTAATTTTTTTATCTTTCATTGACAATTTTTTTTTAGGTTATTAAACTTTCTTATAGTTTTGTTTAGTTTTTTCAGTGCATTTTTGAAATAATTAAAATTTAAGGTTTTACATTAACATAAATCTTATCATCAAGCATTTACAAATGTGTAAAAGCTTGACAGCTAAATTGTCAAAACAAAATACAATAATGGTGTGCAAAATATCAGTTGATGTAACACATCACTTGTTTGAGGGTTTCTCACTTTCACATTATATTGCAGTAATGTGAGATCCTTTTTCAAAATGCCTTTCAATTGTGTGGTTTGTCACAAATTTTGTCAGATCAATAAACCATAAAGTACCTTGTTGTATCAAACCTTTACAACCTTGTGATACCGCTTCCCTATTTTTCATACAAACTTTGCAATATATTTCAATAAAGTATGTAATTCCGATGGTAATTTCAGTTCTAAAGCCTATTACCTCTTCATCTTTCGATTTAATAAATATTGACAACATTAATTTGTTTCTTTTTGAAATGTCCTTGATGGACTTTTTAAACAGCAGAATCATTTTTAATTCAGTTTAAAATAAATAATAGTTAATAAAAAACCTATACTATGAACAAAAATGAGTTTAAAAATTTTTTATTACAAATATTTATTAGTTTGTAATATATCACAACGATGCGTGAAATATTACAAACAATCAAATAAATCTTACTTGTTGTTTTTACAAAATTAAAAATACTCTGCAGTTTTATTTTAATTTTCTTATAGTGATTTTCTATTTTTCTATTCTTATTTCATTTTTATATTAGCATTATGTTTCAATGTGCACATGGTTCTGATATATATATATATGTATATGTATATATATATATATATATATATATATATATATATATATATATATATATATATATATATATATATATATGTATGTATATATATATATATATATATATATATATATATATATATATATATATATATATATATATATATATATATATATATATATATATATATATATGTATGTATATATATATATATATATATATATATATATATATATATATATATATATATATATATATATATATATATATATATATATATATATATATATATATATATACGAAATATATTTAAAAAATGATGTGATTTTCTTGCACTATCAAATATTAAATAAACTGCAACATATAATAAAGGAAATAGGAAATTAACTATAAAATTTATAAATAAATAATTTAAAAAACTATAAAATTTATAAATAAATAATTCAAATCCGGTTAAAATAATAATTTTTTTAGCGAATGTACAATTTTGTCCTTATTATTGACAGTCATTTTATTATTTACTTTTAGATAAAAAATTCTTCTAGAACTAGTTTACAATGTCTAGAAGTCATTGTTGAGAATATCCATTTTCTGTAAAAAAATTTAATTAGGAATTTAATTTCTTTGTCTATATAATTACTAGTGCATAATTTGTAAGCTCTTGCAAGAAAACCTTTAAATATTCCTATTGCAATATATAGAGATATTTTCGATTGCGTTTTTTTTTTTTTTTTTTTTTTTTTTTTTTTTTTTTTTATTTACTCCCAAGGCTGCAAGCAACCACTATTAAGTTGGGAGTTACTAGGGAAAAAAAGAACAGAGTTAAAGAGCAAGGAAACGGTTGACAGAAGACTTGAAAAGTTGAAGGTTGTATGAGTCAAGAAAACATGAAGATGGGAGAGAGTTCCAAAGGATTGAAGTGCGGGGAAAAAAACTAAATGAATAAAAGTTTTTAGAACATGCAGGGACAGATACAGTAAACGAATGAGACTTAGCTGAATGACGAGTAAAATGAGAATGAATTTTAGTTGATGGAGCTAGAAATGATAACTCCTTTGAGCAGTGACCATGATAGTATTTGTAGAAAAGAGAAAGAGATACAACTTTACAACGATGGGAAAGAGGTTCACGCTTAGCAGATAGTCCAGGTCCAACAACATTTACAATGCGTTTTTGGACCTTGTCAAAAAGAGAAAGTGAATCATTAGAAGAACCAGCCCAAATATGACAACAGTATTCCATAAAGGGACGAATAAGAGATTTGTAGAGGTAGAGAATGGAATCAGAAGTAAGGAAATGGCGAGCACGATAAAGAGAAGCAACCTTAGCAGAAGCTAATTTAGCAATCGATTGTATATATGGTTTCCATGAAAGGTCAGTAGTAAGCGATAATCCATGAAGACATAAAGAGGAGGACTCAGTAAGAGGATTGCCATTCATTAATATAGGAATGTTGACCATATTACAGTAGTTGTTTGCAGTAAACAACTGGGTTTTATTAGAGTTGAAATTCACAAGCCACTGTGAACCCCAATCTATTACTAAAGTAAGATCAGATTCAAGATCAGCTGCTTGTTCATCAGCAAAAAGAGCTACTTTAGATGAAAGGTTGTCAGGAAGATCGTTTATGTAGATAAGAAACAAAACAGGGCCCAGAATGGAACCTTGGGGAACCCCAGAAGTTACTGGAAATAAAGAAGAGTATTGGCCTTCAAGGATGACTTTAATAAACCGGTTAGAAAGAAATGATTTGATAATCTCAAAAACTTTCCCAGAAACACCATATGAAGCAAGCTTATGGAGAAGACCAGCATGCCAAACTTTGTCGAAAGCTTTAGATATGTCGAGAGCAATAGCCCTAGCCTCACTGCCTCCATCTAATGCACGATAAAATCTTTCAGTTACAGCAGTTAGCAAGTCAGCCGTAGAGCGAGAGGATCGAAAACCGTATTGATTGTCTGACAGTAGTTTATTTGACTCAAGATGAGATGTGAGGAATTTGTTGATCAAAGACTCAAAGACCTTGCTAATAACAGAAAGAAGGCTGATCGGATGATAATTGGAGGGATCAGAATTTTCTCCAGAGTTTTTGAATATTGGAACCACAGATGCCATTTATCAACAAGTAGAAAAACAGACTCAGTCAAACACTTGTTAAATAGTTTAGAGAGAATTGAAGAAAGTTCTGGAGAACAATACTGCAAGACTGTGACAGGAATGTTGGCTGGACCACAAGCTGTAGACGAGTTTAATTAAAATATGACTTTAGCAACAGAAGCCGGAGTGATTTGAATGTCTAACAATGGGTCAACCTGTTTGACTGGAATGGAAGGAAGAGAATGTCCATAAGATTCAAGAGTGAAATTAGAAGAAAAGTTCTTTGCAAATAGTTCTGCCTTATCCTTGGGAGAGGTAATAAGATCAGTCCCATGAATGATGGAATGTTAGATTTACCCTTGTTAATAATGTTGTTGAAGATTTTCCAAAAGTCTTTAGAGCCTAACTTCTGTGATAAAATGCGAGATTTAGTGAACTGAGAATAATGGAGTTTAGCATCAGAAAGCACCTTTTTACATCGATTTCTTGCAATAATAAATAGCTTTTACAAGTGCATTTGTTATTGCATTCTTGCGGCATATAGAGAAGATATATTTGTGAGTAATATGATTTGTTAAAATGCAGGTACCTAAGAAATTTAGCTGATCTTGATTATTTTGGTATTCGCATGTGATTTATTAGCTTTGTCTTGAGAATTTAAAAGTGTCAGAAACGTTTCTGCTTTTTCAGAGTTAAAAAAGTGTGCATGGCAGTCATCAACATTAAATGTTATTGTTTTAAATGTTATTGCACCAATAACATTTAAAACAATAACATTTAAAAAGTTTAAATGTTAATGGTGCAACGTTTATGGGTAATGCTTGTTGAATTGAATTATATTCAATATGTTGTAAGTAAGCTTTTGAAATTACTACCATTATGAATAATCCAATCGGACCATATTTTTTTTAAATATAAATTTTTTATCCCACAGAAAATAGTCTTTACTTAGACAAAGTTCAATTGATTTATGAAAGTCAGTTAAAATTAGTTTAGCCCAAGATCATTTTTATCATTATTTAAAATAGCAATAATAGTTAAAATTGCTTTATCAAGTGGCACTGGTGGATACAAATTTATTATGTAAAATGATACTTGAACCTCATTTTCTTTAATTGTCCATTCTTTTGTTATAAAATACAAAAATAATAATAAGATTCAAAAGGCGATGAATTTTTTACTCTACACTGAAGATCTTTACTAAACATATTATGCCAAAATAAATCAATGCTACCACTAAACTGTTACCCAGGTGTTTAGCAACTTGAATGTATATGTGGTGCTTTTTATGTAGGTGAAACCAGGAAAAAGATTACAACAAGAATAACCGAACAACAAAAAAACTTGACTAAAGTGAACTGGAAAGCGTCTGGAATTGTTAAACGTGCACATTATTGCTACAATTATTTGGAATAATCCTAAAACATTTTCAGTTATCGCAAATAGTTATACTAGAAAAATCAAGGAGGCAATTAAAATAGACAGATTGCAATGTTGCTACCCAAAAAATAAAATTCTAAACCGGGATAATGCCAACCTAGTGATGACTTACTATTGGAAACCAATTTTTGTTAAATTTAAAAAAAAATTTGTCATTATACAGCAATGGCATCATTATTGTAAAAACAATATTTTGTAATATTTTAGTTTGAAAATAGCTCCCTCTATGGCTCCCACATTTTTGTAATTAATAAAATTTAATAAGTCAAATAAATAGTATGTCACCGTAAATGATGTATTTTTCGTTTTATATATATACATATATATATATATATATATATATATATATATATATATATATATATATATATATATATATATATATATATATATATATATATATATATATATATATATATAGATTGATTTGTCTGTTTGAGTTAAACTGCAATGACTATAACTGCTTAAATGACACCACAGTTTGGAAAGTTAGCATGGTGCATAAAAGATCAGGAGGAATCATTCACTTCAAAGATTATAATGGTAATTATTTAATTTTTTACTTATTAGCATTGATTTCAAAAATACTATTACTAAAAGCAATTTTATTATTTAGGATATTTAAAAATATACGTCTCCGTTAATCAAAATTGTGAGTTAAACACATTAGACACAATATTCGAAATTTCTGAATTTCGTGATGCTGTTACTCAGCTTTTAGCTTTACTCATGGATGAGAAATTTTGCCATCCTTACGGAACAATTGCAGGCTCTGTAGCATAGCGTTCTCATAGTCGATTAGTAGACTATGTGGTAAGTGAAGCAGATAAATCTAAAGCGTCCATGGATCTTTCGATTTAAAATGAGCTCACATTTGGATTTTGTTTATAAAACTGTTTATGAGCCAAAAAAATTATGTTATTTAATTAGTTAAGGTTTACAAGTTGGGCTGGGGTTCTTAGGTATTTATTTTGTTACTTCGTCTTGAAAACTCAATTATAATGTTGGTCAACCAAAATGAAAAGTTTTTAGTTGTGACAATTAACTTAGGTTTAAAGAATTCTATAAAAATGCTTATTTTGCTTTCATGTGTTGTTTTCAATTTTTTTTTAAACGGTTTATAAACAGAATTATTAAATCTTAAAATTGCTTTAGTAGGACATTGCTTTTTTTTTCGATTATTATAACTCAAAGTCCTTCTCACCCTAAGTAAAAATTTCTATAGGTCTTTTAGAATTTTGAAATGAATTTTTGAAATCAATAAACGTGTTTTGCAAATTTGTTTTAGTTTAAAGGCTGTAAAATCTTTTGTTTGTTTTTAAATTTTTTTAGGTCTTCTTGAGAAGAGCAGTTTAGAACGTTCGTGTTTTTTAATATATATTTATGTTTATAATTTATTTATCTTTGATATTCAATGTATATACGTATATTTGTATATTTTTATGTATATATCTTTATAATTTATTTATTTATTTTTTGATACGTTTATCTATGAATAAAGGTGCATCGTTTGCGGTGACTTCTATTTTTTTTTTCTTTTTTTTTTTTTTTCTAATTAAATTTTTTTTTTCTAATTATCAATAAATTTTAGTAATTTTTGGATTAATATAAAAATTATTTATTAAAAGCAATATTTTTTATAGTAAATAAACTCTTTTATTTTTATTACCAAAAAAAAATTACGGTTCAATAGTTTTGTAAAATACAACAACTAAGTAGTTTTCTCTCCTTTTTCTAAATGTTTTTTTTAATTTAGATATTATTTAGGAATATCTGCGAGAATTTTATCAATTTACGACAATTTAACGACAGAACATTTCAAATCTTTGAACTAATTTTATAACCAAAAAATTGAAGGGAATCAAAATTTTTAATTTTCAAGCATGTGATTGTCTTATAAATCTTGGTCTTGTTTTTAAACTTTGATTATAAAATTTTTCAATCAGGACTGACCGAAGGGGGGTGTCTACCCCCTACGAAGTTTATTTGTCGGCAAGTTTGACATTGGAGTCGGCTAAAGGGTATCTATAGTTGGCAGTCGACAAATATCGGAAAACGAGGAGCTTTATTTTTTTTTTTTAGAGATAAGTTAGTCGTTAAAAAAAAGATACGTCACTCCCCACCCCCCTCCCTTCCTTTAAAATTTCTTCAGGATGGCTTTTTTCCCAATGACCTTTAAAAATCTATTGCAAACTTGTAAACAGTGTTTTTGTTGTTGTTAGTAACAGTGTTGTTATTAGTAACAGTGTCGTCGTTAGTAATAGTGTTGTTGTTATTAGTAACTGTTGTGGTTGTTCAAAAACACTAGTTATACTTTGATTAAAATTGAGGTAAATGAAATTTTTTTTAAATAATTTTATTTTATCTAAAACATTATATTAACGAACAGATAGATCTTTTAGAGACATTGACATTTTTTGTGTAATAATAAAAAAATTCAAATGACCATTACTTTATTTATGACGTTGGTTGATGGTAATATTTCAAGTACATTAACTGAAACATAAGGGATTGTCCATAAAGTACGTACGCTCATTGGGAAGGAAAGGATCTGCAAATGACGTATATGATATTGGAGAGCAGTGGGTCAATTATAAAAAAAACGAGAAACTAAATTTTAAAAAATACTATAAAATGTTAGATAAATAGGTTAAAATCCTACGTACTTTTAGGGAGGAATTGAGGATACTCCAAAACAGCGTATTGCAAAATGCGGGGGATATAATTTTTTTTTTTAATGCATCGTCCTATATCAAATATATATAATTTATGTAAATAATTTTGTTAATGTCAAAAAGAAAGAATTAAAAAAACTATTTCTTTTTAAACCTTCTCGTGGATAAAAGTTTCAAAAGTTGAAAGTTATAATAATGTTATAACATAGTTATATATCATATATAACAACATGTAACTATATATCAATATTATATTTCAATCATATAAAATTTAGTTATAACATATTTAGTACATAAATAGATAATAAAAATCATTAGTTATTTTGTGTTTAAATAGAAGTTATTAATTAATGTCGAAAAGTCTCAGAAACCATAGTGTATTGTAAAACATGGTTTTTAAATTACTAAGTTACACTCAATATGATGCCCTGACAATCATGTTTAATTTCGCACTCCATGGTTTTATATCAACGGATTAATTATCCACAGGAGAACAAATTGTCATATATAAAACCTCCAATTTAGATGTAGATTAGAGTATGAAGAGCTCGTCATTAGGTTTAGGGAAGAGCTTGTAAACTTCAAGTAGTAGAACCACGATAAAAATACGAAGTCCTACAAAAATACGGTTGTAAAAGATTGTTTCAACTCTTTTATAATGCAGCGCAGTAGTTAGAGCTTCTCTAGAAGCTCTAACTCTAAAGAAGATCCAAGGTTCGATACGAACTTTGGGCAAATTTGGCGCTATTCGTCAAGAAGGAGACGTGAACTTCCAAGTAAAATGCTCTTTCGCGGTGCTTTGTGACAAAGGGCATCTAAAACCAAAGTTAAAAAAATATATAATATTTATAAATACTAACTTTTTATCATTGTAATTTTGCTTTTTTTTTCATTACGGAATAAAAAAAAATTAATATAGTATACAATCATTTTTTTAAAAATTTCTTTAATTTATTTTGTTAAATAAATTTAAAAAAATTTGATTTAAAATTGAGATATTTTTTTAACCCATTCTACCTAATCGAAATATAACTGAACAAAAAAGTTTGCATGGCCAAAAAAACACAAGGTAACATTTGCCACTCTTTGAATAATGAAAAAGTATATTTGTTTTTAACTTTTTAATATCAAAAAGCTAAAATTAAAAGTTGATATTTTTATCAGTAATTCGACCAAAAACGACTCGAAAAAGAATTTTTCAAATTTTTTTTTTTAAATAATTATAAGCACAACTGAAATTCAAAATTAAATGTAAAACAAAAAATGTTACGTGAATTAATTCATATATATATATATATATATATATATATATATATATATATATATATATATATATATATATATATATATATATATATATATATATATATATATATATATATATGCATGTATATATATATATGCATGTATATATATATATATATATATATATATATATATATTTATATATATATATATATATATATATATATATATATATATATATATATATATATATATATATATATATATATATATATATATATATATATATATATATTCAAATTTTTTTACTTATAATTTTAATTAGTATGTTTGATTACATCAAAATCACATATTAATAATTTATATGAAAACATAGTTGGTTTAGTATAAAGGTTTTTATTTCATTGAAAAAAAGTCCATTCTTCTTTTTGTAAAACATGTATTGTTAGACCACGTAGATCTTTTTGAAAAAATTATGATAAAACATTTCATTAAAAATTCTTACCCTTTAAAAGTGTTGCTAAATAGTTGATGGTTGATTACACACACAAAAATACAAAGCATGGTCAAGCATTCTAAAGTTTAAAACGTGGTCAAGGTTCAAATGTGTAAATAATTTTGTTCTAATAAAATTTAAACTGTAAGAAAAGTAAATAGAAACGTTTGTTTTGATATATACAATGAACATAAAATTTTTACGGATTTTCATTTAAACTATTGTCTTCTATTATTATTATTATTTTTTTCGTCATTAAAAAATAATCTTTTACAATGTTTTTACAACATAAAAAATGTAACATTAAAGTTTCAACCAGAGCTGGCAGAAGACATGGTTTTATCATCCAGCCTTCTATAACTAACTTCAAACAGGTTATACTTGAAATGGACAACTACTTTTCTCATTTTGAAATATATATTTTTTTAAACTTTTTTTTTTTTTTTTCTCTTTTTTTACACAATACAGTAAATTATTTTACAACAAAATAATTAAAACAAAAAACCGTTAAATAATAAGAAATAAGAAAAAAGGAATAAAAAAACGGATACTCGTAGAAGACCAATAATGTCCTGTCATCGAAATCCGCTCGTAAATTACAATTATTAAAACATACATAAATTAATACAAACATAAAAAGTACAACGAGTTATTAGGTGTTTTAAAAATAAAAAAATATATCATCCAGAGGCAAAATGATGTTTTAAAGCTTTTTCTTAAAAGAGATTTTTCCATTCAAGAGAAAATTCAAAATGTTTTTAAACTATTTTGTTCGTAAGAGAAACTCCACGAAATGATATTCTTAATTTTCCAAAATTTGTTTTAAATAATGGCTGCCGAATTAAACTATTGTATATTAAATTGTATTTATTTTTATGATTTAATGAATATAAATTGTGCAAAAATTGGGATGGAGTTAGTTTTACATTTGAACATAAAACAAAGCATATTAAAAAAATTTAGCTGATATATATTAAGAATTTTCATTACAAACAAAGTTGGCTGGCATGAGTAAATCTGTTTTTAAAATTGATAAGACAAGCAAAATTTCTATATTATATATTTATTCCTATACTTTTATATAATATATATATATATATATATATATATATATATATATATATATATATATATATATATATATATATATATATATATATATATATATATATATATATATATATATATATATATATATATATATATATATATATATATATATATACAAATTAGTAGAAAATCACTTAGCAAAATTTTTTCTCATTTAACACTGTGTTTCATCAATAAAGACTCATCAGATATCATCAGAGGTAGTTGTTTAAGAAGAATGAAAGAGTGACCATTTTGCTTTCTTAACATTTAGTGAAAGCTTGATCATTTTAAACTAATCAGAAATTTTTGCTTATTCAATATTCATAGTTTGAAATAATATGTTGATATGTTTTTATTGGATAAAAAAATGTTAGCGGTATCAGCAAACATGACAGCAATTAAATTTGAAGCTTTATGAAGATCATTTATGTAAATGAGAAAGAAAAGTGACCCAAGTATAGAATCTTGGAGTACTCTGCAGGTTATATTTAGTAAATTGACCGGATTGTTTCCATTACTTTAAAGAAACAGTTTACGACTGCTTAAATAATTTTCAAATAAAATTAATTGAAGCACTCCTAGATTTTAAATTAAGTTACATTTCTCAATTAAGTCTTTGTGCTTTTTTAGAAAAGTTTTACTGGTCTTTGATTAGATACAATTGGTTTATTTTCTCTTTTTGTTTACATAGTCAATTTTTCTTCATTGATATAATAAAGGATAGAACTACAGTTTAGGCGTGACGTGAGCTAGCTATATCTGGCCAGTGGCGAATTAAGACTTCTTGGGGCCCGGTGCTGTTTTTGTTTTTGGAGGCCTTTTTATGGGCCAGAGCCTAAAAATGACTAAAAAAAAAAGGTTCTCTAAAATTTTTGGGGGCTCTAAATTTGAGAGGCCCGGGGCTATAGCTCCCTTAGCCCTCCCTTGATCCGGCGCTGTATCTGGCAATATATCTTTGCCATAACTTTGCCATACCTGGCAAGAAGATTAGTTTGTTATTTTGTTTTCCTTAGTTACAAACCTTAAAAAAATTCTTTGAGGTAAACTTGGTTGTTAATTGTCTCTGACGTTATATCACGTCAGAGACAATTAACAGCCAAGGTTCAGAAATTTAATCATCCTATACAATCGGATGTCACATTTGACATTTACCATAAAACTATATCTATCACCGTTATTGCTTCAGTGTTATTCTCACAATTACCAATCACATTGTAGTATTCAATGTAGTTTTTCATTTCATTTTGTGAGGATGATACTGAAGAACTCTGGCACCCATGACGGGATCAACTGAATTTATTGTTCATAGCATTAATTTTTTTTACAATCAGAAGGAATTGAATTTTTTAAATTGCTTTTTAAGAAATATTTCAACTCTTTTAAATTTTTTACATATTTAGGACCATAAATCTTTTTCATGATCAAATCATATTTTATCGCAAGACCAAAATTTATTACAAATTTCTATATTGTATTTATCACACTAGTTTCGAAAATTTTACATTTCTTTAGCCTGGGTGTTTAAAGGTTAAAATTTACAACTTATTAAAAAAACTTCGCCTTTTTGATTGTTTTTTTTTTCTAAAGAGTGTTTTTCAAACCTCTTCAAATCAAATTTCATTTCATTTAAAGAGTGTTTATGTAATTTTCTACAGTTCTTTAAACTACTGTTACAAAAGTCAGTTCAATAAATTTTGAGTTAACTTTTACATTAGACGCCCGGTTTATTGATCTATCGAATACCTTAACGACCTCATGTAAATATACATTTTTTGAACATGCAGTTGTTTGAAACTTTGTTTGTGGAAGTGATTTTATGTTTTGTTTGATAAAAAAAACTCACATATTTAAAGTTTTTCGCAAAAAAGCATGACATTTAAAAACGCAGAATATTAAAAGAAAAAGTGATTTTATTTACTCGAAAAGAACCATTTGTACAATTTACAAATCAGTATTCAAAATATGTTTTAAAAAAACAAAAATTTTTAATCTATTCACATTATCTGCATTCATAATAAAATATATATAATATAGAATTTTTAAATTGATAATATATATAGATTAAAAACGCTTATTTTTGTTTTAACAAGCTTGCAGATGAAAAACTTGCAAAAGAAAAACTTGCAGATAAGTTCATCGAAATGATCAAGATTGCATTAGCTAATTAAAAAAAAAATACACGAAAACTAAAACAAATTTGATATACCCAAGTGCACAATACCATTTTAAAATTACCGACTATTTTTTCTATTATTTTTAGTATTAAATACAGAATCCAATTTTAATTCTTAAAATTGGTTTTGACATGTACTTTTCTTTTTTTATTGGGCATTATCAATATAAGCTTTAAGATAAAGTTTTTGAAAACAACTCAAATTCGACACAGTATCTTTTATTAAAAATTTATTCAAAAAATTACGTGAAGTTATAGAACACAGTTGGTTTTTTTTGTTTTGATAATGCAATGTAAAAATTAATTATTAACAGCATTCAAGGTGTCATTGTAAACTTAAATACAGTGTGGACGAATTGGTAACTACATCAGGAATTATTTTTAGATAAAAGTTTCAATTAGGGTGAGATTGGGAGAATTACTTGGTTATATTTGGAATTTATGAATTATAATTGCAATTGTCACTTTTAAACAATATTAAATTATAGTTGTTTTGATGGAGTCATTTTAATATGTTTTGATAAGTCGTCTGTCGAGAACCATATGTCCACATTTTGTGTTTTTTCATATTATTATCAATAAATATTCAACAATCAATGGAGTATGTGTCCAATAAATCTAGTTTCAAGAATGATACAACTTTTAAAATAAATTTTTTTAAAAAAATTAGTTAAACATTCTGGCAGTAAGCTTCACAAATTAAATTTTAAAACTTGATTTTCTCAGAAATACAAAAAATGGACATACGCTCTCTTAGTTCTCGGCTGACGAAGTGTCGAGCGAGACAGAGATACAATAAAAATAATCGAAAAATATTACTACGACCAAACGGATTACTTGATTGACAGTAACGCTTATTAATGTATTAAAAAGCCGAAACACTTCTTGTTTTTGTTAAGTTTGAATTAACATTAAGTGTTAAAAAAACATAAAATGCACATAAATTTTATAATTTATGATGATGTGATTTCCTTACTCTATCATGAATTAAATAAAGTCGAAATGCAACATATAATAAAGGAAATAGGAACTCAACTATAAAATTTATAAAACTTTAATTCAAATCAATGTAAAAGAATAATTTTTTGGCGATTGTACAATTTTGTCCTTATTGTTGACAGTCCGTTATAAATAGTTTGCTTTTATAATTTACTTTTAGATGAAAAATTTTTATAGAACCGTTTGCCACCATATGAATATGTGTTTGATAAATGTTATGCTCAACATATAAAATAAAAATAAAAATGTTATGCTCAACATAAATGTATCTATTTATCTCTATCTCTCTATTTATCTAAGTATATATATATATATATATATATATATATATATATATATATATATATATATATATATATATATATATATATATATATATATATATATATATATATATATATACATATATATATATATATATATATATATATATATATATATATATATATAGTATATATATATATATATATATATATATATATATATATATATATATATATATATATATATATATATATATATATATATATATATTTGTGTGTATGTGTTTGTATTTTTATTTGGAACATTGACAATGACATTGTCAATAATATTGTATAGAACAACAACAATAGAGCGGAGTTCCTAAATAGTCATTATAAAATGCAATTATTATTATTATGAAACATTGTCAATGTCATTGTGTGTGTATGTGTGTGTGTGTGTGTGTGTGTGTGTGTGTATATGTGCGTGTATGTGTTTATATTGTTATATGGAACATTGTTTGGATTATAATCATAAGTAAAATAATAGAACAGAGCTCCTAAATAGTCATCATAAAATGCAATTACTATTTATTATACATGAAGAATAAAAATAGTGCATAATAGTAAAGCAAGCAAGTCAAATATAGGAATAATTGCATTTATATAATGAATACTACATAATTGTAATCATTATATAATTTTTAAAAAAAGTTTAAAAGGTTTTATTTATATATTTTTATATCTTACTTTTTAGGGATTTTAGTTTGTTTTTTCAATTTTTTCAAAAGATATATATATATATATATATATATATATATATATATATATATATATATATATATATATATATATATATATATATATATATATATATATATATATACACTATAATAAAAATATTTTTTGTATTCATTAATAGTATTGTTTATGTTGCAAAATTTCTAACTTTGTTTTAGTAATATAATAGTAAAAAAGGTATAAAAAAAATTAAAAAAAAGCATAAACAGATGATCTGCAATTATCCTATGTACTAAAGAAATATGCTGAATGTCATCTGGACAATTTCTCTAGTGCATTAATAGACTTAGTATGTTGTCAGCAAAAGGTATTGGATTTATTTATGGTTTGTGCTTTATGAAATGAAAGGGAATTCTATCAATAGTCTTGCAGCTTGGTTACAAATAAATTTATGGTTTTGCCTAAAGTTAATATTTCAATGACAGTTAATTAAAAGTTGTTCACTATTAGCATGTTCAAGTTAATTTGTTTCAAATTTACCCTCAATTTCAAAATTAGATTTAAAAAGATTTTTCTTTTTGATATGTCACATGATACGATAAGATGAAAGTTGTTTTTTGGACCAATAAATTCTTCAATAGATCTCAATGACAATAGAAGTCTTGAAATATAAGCAAGCATTTTTTGCCATATATAAAAAATTAGAAAATATATAAAGATTACAGAAAAAAATCATTAGCAAGCAATTTTGTCTTAAGAACCATTACTTTAAATTTTGATTACTGTTCAGATAGTTACTATCCTAACAACTATTTAAACATATTAAACCTTTGTGCATCTAAAATCTTCTCAACATTCTTATTTGGGTTCTGTTCAACTATGTATTTCAGTGTCTAAGGGTTGTATCATTGACAATTTATTCTTTAATACAAGTTATTATTATATTGCTGAAACAAAGTATAATTTTTTTTTTTCTGGTATGAAAAGGTCATTAAATTAGAGATTTTATTTCAAAATCAGCCTGAAAATACCTGACTTAATAGTGGCCTGACATACAAAGCATAACAACTGTCTGACAACACCAGATGTAATAGTGGCCTGATAACACGTAGATAAGACGTAGATAAGACGTTATAATCACTCTGATAACACCTAATAAACCTGATAACACGTAGATAAGACGTAATAATTGCTCTAACTACACTAGACAGAGGTCTGAGAATTCCATGGACAATATGAGCACCTTTTAAATTTTTACAACTACAAGCAATACTAAAATCTTGAGACTTTTAAAACTTTAAAGCAGTTAAAGAAATAATGACGTAATGGTCTGGTAATTATCACATTGTTAAAACATTTTTTTGCCTCAAAGAACATGTTATTAAGTTATTTAGTAGAAGGTTGTGATGCACTTTAGAACTATTATTGAGCAAGAATTGTGAATTGTGAAAGAAATAGAATTAGAAAGAAGAACCAGCTCAAAATATTTATTTTTCATCAGTAAAAAATACTTATGATTTGGTAAAAAAACGGTCTTTCATGTCTCCCAACAACCACAATCGTTTTCCTCTCAAAACAGAATCTCCATCTAATAATCTTTTTCAATAGTTTTTCATTCACCATCTAATAAACTTAATTCTTAATTGTCTTGTTATCTACTGAAAGTTTTCTACTTTTTTTGACTTGTTATCTACTGTTAGTTTTCTAGAAAAGATGTCAATAACTGTTTATTACTAATTTTTTAACATGTATTTTTATCTTTTAAAATTTTAAAACATATTGTTTAACTTATAAGATTTTTTTTAACATTTTTTTTTAACTTTAAGCGTGTATTTTTAATTTTTGTTATTATAAATATTTAATTTATATTTTATACAAAAAGATTGAGAGATAAGGTATCTTTAGGTATAACAAGTAATGAGTTTTACCTAAAGATACCATGATATAACAACTTTTAGTTATAAGATGTTTAAAAAAAAAAAAGATGATGAAATATAGGGGAGACCTGAGATAGTTGCAATGGGCAATTTGTTATTCCCTTATAGTTTTACATTATGTAGCTATAATAATAACACAGCTATATACAAACGTCTTACCATTAAACTTAGAAACGCTTTCAGGTCGACAGTTAGGTTGGTATTGCTGAATGCTTATCCTAAATCCGAGGGCTGTATATAAAAGTCTAGTTAGCATATTCAAAGTCTTTTTGGATTGTATTATAAACTAAAAGGTACATAAACGATCTAAAGTAATGGATGTTAAGTAAATTTTATAGTCGCCCCTCAAGTTAAGTATGCTACAGCTTGCCTCTTAAGTTAAGTTTCAAGATTTTTCATTTTAAGCATTACAGGATACCTAATGTTTACATAATACCTATCAATGTTAGAATAATATCCCCAAGTTCTATTTTATTTCCCTGCAAATTAAAAAAAATGTGTTGCAACTAGCTTAAGTCTCTTTCTCTCTCTCTCATACACACTCTCTCTCTCTTTATATATAAATATATATATATATGTATATATATATATATATATATTTATATATATATATATATATATATATATATATATATATATATATATATATATATATATATATATGTATATATATTTATATATATTTTTTTATATATGTATATATATAATATATATGTACATATATACATATATATATGTATATATGTATATATGTGTGTGTATATATATATATATATATATATATATATATATATATATATATATATATAAGTATGTATGTATGTATGTATGTATATATATATACATATATATATATGTATGTATATATATATACATATATATATATGTACATATATACATATATATATATATGTATATATGTATATATGTGTGTGTATATTATATATATATATATATATATATATATATATATATATATATATATATATATATATATATATATATAAGTATGTATGTATGTATGTATGTATATATATATATATATATATATATATATATATATATATATATATATATATATATATATATATATATATATATATATACATATAGTCTTTTTCTTTTTAGGCATTAATATATAGCCAGTAGAAAGTTAAACATAAAAATTATTTTCAACAGAAGTAATATATTACATAATTATTCTATTTTCAGCACAATACACATTATCCTAAAGATTTTAATTATAATAACGTGGTGACGATTTGACAAAGATTTGTGATCCTTCTATAGTAATTAATATTCACAAAAGGTAAAGTCTGCTTAGAAGTTAAAGTATAGAATGACTTTGATAGATGTTAACCTAGTTTGTTTTACACAGTCAACTTTGGGCATCATATTTTGTCTAAATTTTTTGATTTTTGCTAAGTTTATCTAAATTGTAAATAATGGTTAGTTTTAAATTTTAAAACCAGCCATTAGTTTTAATAAAAATACTTTGAAGTTGGACATTGATTTTCCAAGAGGTTGCATTTCTGAATCCAATAAAAAATTAAACTGTTGAAATTTCATTCAAACTTTTGCTAGATAACCATTAAAGTTAATCAAATTAACCCACTAAATGAAGTAGTATTCTTAAAAATAAAATGAAATTTATTAAAGTAAAATTGAGCACAATAACACATAAGCACAATAACAATAATAAATAAGCTTTTAATTAAATAAGCTAATTAATTTGAAAAATTGTGTCATTGAGTAATCTAAGAAAATTAAAGACTTGAAAACATAAACATAAATTAAATATTAAAATCTTACTTTATGTATATGAAATTCATTTTAACTTTAAAAATGGTTGTAAAACTTTAATAACGTTTTAAAATGTTAGCCAGGATAATATATGCTGTTACATTTTTACTTGCCAAAAATATATTTGAATATATTTTTTATTACATTTGTGCCACCCCATGTAAATCAAAGTTAATTTTTTTTATAATATGAATTTAAAATATATTTATTTACATTAGAATCTAGTAATAATAATCTAGTAATAATAAGTTTTATGTTTTAACATTCAAAAGCAATGGCTAACAGAATCTTAATTTTTTAATTTACTTTAAAAGCATTAAATATAGATTTTTAAAAAATATCACCCAATTAATAAGGCAGTAAGTTCATATTTTTCTAGAGAATTGAATGTTTGACAAATTAAATTTTATCCTTGTTAGTTAAGTAAAAAAGTTGTAAATCAGTAAAAAAAAAATGCTAGCCAACTAAATTTTGTGTAACTGTTTTTTTTTTTTTTTTTGTTTTTTTATTAAAAAAAAAAAAGATTTATTTAATTTAATGTTTATTTATTTTTTTGTTATATTTGTTTTTAGATAAAATAAGATTTAAAATGAAAATGTTTTATCGAATCACTTAGCAAATTAAAAATGGAGCTTGATCTGGCCACACAGTTTCGACAAGTTCTTTTAATTCCGAAAGATCGCAGGAGCAATGCTGTAACATTTACATATAATTTTTATGATAAGAATGATAGTTGTTTTATATATATATATATATATATATATATATATATATATATATATATATATATATATATATATATATATATATATATATATATATATATTATAAAGCATAATATTTTTATATGATCTTGTCAAATTATTTAGTATTTAGTAGGTACTTACAACTATACACAAACTTAACAGGTAATTTTTCAGTTAAGCAGTGTAAAAGAAAATTATTTATTCCTTTTTTTGCGCTTGCCACAATGTCTAAAACAATGGACCCTTCCACAAATAAAAAAAATAGATCAGGTGAGCCAAGGTTTAGGGTAATCAAGCTCATATTTAGGGTTAGATTTAGGGTTATGGCTCGTCCAAAGGCAAGGATCAGATTGTTCTAATTTTAAAATTAACTCTAAATTTTAACCTGACCATCAATTCATCGTTTTTTTTTTAATTTATGGAAGTGTGTTGTATCTGATATAATTATTATATATCAAACCATGTTCAGACCTTTTTTTGACAAACGCAAAAAAGAAAATAAATATTTTAATTTTATGTTGATTAAATGTCAACAACAAAAAAAAAATTCATTTATAAATTACATAATTTAACTTTTTTTTTTTAAAAAACCTCAATTAAAAAACAAAAACAATATACAAATTACAGTAAATGATAACAAGGAGAAAACAAAATTGTATGCAACGGGATAACAAATAATACAGAAAGAGTGAACAACAATGCGAAAAGAGACAACAAACAATGCATGTTTTTTTAATGTGTAATAGTTATGCATTAACCTAATATTATAAAAAATAAAAAAATTTCAGTTTTTCTTTAATAAAAAAGTGCTCTTTTTCAAAATCAAAAATCACAAACAACAAATGATATAATTTTTAAAAGAGCCTGTAGTAAAGAATAGAATCAAGAGTAGGGAAATGGTGAGCATAATAAAGAGAAGCAACCTTAGCAGATACTAACTTTGCAATCAATTGTTTATATGATTCCCATGAGATCATTAGTGAATGAAAGTACAAGCAGAAAATAGAAACAATATTATTATAGTGACACAGGGGTGAAACCACATGGTTGTTTGGCCAAAAACAGAAGTTTACTTGAATTAAATTAGACATGCAAATGATTTAAAATGTTTTTAAATATTGTTGCATTTTAAAGCATACTTTCTTTAAAATTTAAAATGCAAATGCATAAAACAAAATAATAATAATAATAATAATAATAATAGTAATAATAATAATAATAATAATAATATATATATATATATATATATATATATATATATATATATATATATATATATATATACATACATACATATAGTAGCGTGCAAAAGTTTAGAAACAACAATATTTTTTCAGTGTTTAGTGCATAACTTTTTACAAACTTTCAGAAATAAGATGAAATTTACCAAATGTGCTCTATATTATTTTAATTAAAAATACAAATCACAAAAGTTGTAAAATTAAACTGTTATTTAACATTTAATTGTTTTTTTAAAAAAGCTTCCGTGCAAAAGTTTAGAAACAACTGAACTTGATTAATATTTATTTCGAAAAAGCTAAAACTTTTACTAAAATTCACAAGATAACAATTTTTTAATAATAAAATGGTTTTAATAAAACTCTCAGCATTTGGTGGCATATCCATTTGCCTTTAAAGCAGCATCACAGCGACAAGGCATCGAATCTACTAAATTAATGAGAATATTCTGAGTAATATTATACCAGCATTCTTTAATCAATGCAAATAAATGGTCTTTGTTGATTGTTTTTCTACCAACTAATTGCTGGTTGATATACTCCCAAAGATGCTCAATAGGATTGAGATTTGGGCTCTGTGGAGGCTATTCAAAAACTTAAATTTTTTGTGATTTCAAATATTCATGAACAGATTTGACACACTGCATTTGGATCATTATCTTGTTGTAAAATCCATTTGCGCTGCATTTGGATCATTATCTTGTTGTAAGATCCATTTGCATTACTTTGCATGTGGCAGCATGACATTCTTTATGATATTTAAATAAATTCTCTGGTCTATAATACCTTCTATGCAATGAATGGGACACACATTGACACGACTTAAACATCCCTAAACTATAGCATTCCCTCCTCCATGTTTAACAGTGGGTAACTGATATTTTGGATTAAATCTGTCTCCTACTGGGCGTCTAACATAATTCCATCACTACTGAATAGCATAAACTTTGATTCATCAGAAAAAGGACTTTTGACATGGCATTAACTGAGCAACTAATATGACCTTTTGCAAAAATTTTTCTGGTTTTAAATTTCTTGCAGATATTAACAGTTTCTTATCTGGACGACCATTATACAGATTATTTAGTTGTAATCAACGTTTAGTTGTATCAACGCTACAGTTTGTGCCATAAAACTAATGCATAAATTAAGTTTGACAGCAGTCTTGCGAGAATTATTTTTGGAATACTTTACTAATAATCTATCAGTCTTTTGAGTTGTAACTTTAGGTCTTCCAGAGTAAGGTTTGCTTTCAATAGTTTTTCACAACAAAATTTTTTCATAATGTAATTTATCCCCGTTTTAGAAACATTGTAAAGCTCAGAAATCTACCTGTAAGTCATTTTATTTCCCACAGCTTTTATAATTAATTCCTTTATTTCCTATGAAACTTTTTCCATGCTTTCGAAATATTGCTAAGTAATTGAGTTATAAGATTTTACAAATATTTTAGCAATTAGTTATACTTTACAGTCTTTGAAATATCTCAACATAATTAAATTATTAAATTTCACAAATATTTTGGTTATAAATTTAACTTTTGCTTAAAAAAATGTGATTTAATTGCAGGATATGATACTGTTTCTAAATTTGCACCAAGTTTAAAATTAAAATAATATTTTTGAAATAATATAACATTTGGTAAAAATTTCAGCTTATTTAAGAAAGTTTATGAAAAGTTATGAAGTAAAAATTGAAAAAAAGTTGTTTCTAAACTTTTGCACATTCTTTTAAAAAAATGTGTTAAGTTTTCGACTATGTTGACTTGTTGTTGACTTCTTTTAAAAAATTAATTAAGGCAACATTTGTTTTAAGTTATTGTTGTTTACAATTTTTTAATTTGTTAATTTATATATATGCTTTTTATTTAAAACAATTGTTAAAATTTGTTACTTTATTCAAAAGCGTTTAAGGAAGTATAAACCCATTGAATTAGTTTACAAAACAACAACAAAAAATTCTTTTTTTAAGTTTATGAAGTTTATTGAAACACATTCGTTGTCATCATTCATTGTCATCATTGTTTACTAAATTAATAATATCAATTGTTTTAAAATATTTACATTCATCATTAAAAATAAAATACTTTAGAAATAAGGAAATTTTTTATTTAATATTCTATAAAAATTTACTTAAAAGCGTTTAGCAAAGTGTAAAAACATTTCATTAGAAAGTTTATAAAGCATAACAAAACATAACTTTGTTATGTTTTTGACTAATAAATTTATGGATTCATTGAAACATTTATTTATGTTGTTTATGAAATTAATTGTTCAAATTGTTTTAAAGACATTTAAATTAATTTAAAAAAATACACTTTTTAACAATATAATATCTTTTGATAATTTAAATAAAAAGTTTTTTGTATAGTATAAAATCATTAAAAGCAATTTCTCACTTTATAACTTAATACTTGATTTCAGCCCATTTTTGAAACCTTTTAAAAAATCTAAAAAGCTGTAGTTGGGTTGTCACAAAAAAATTGTTAAATGCATGATCAGGAATAGCATACGATTGCATGTCTTCCACGTCCATGACTATATATATATATATATATATATATATATATATATATATATATATATATATATATATATATATATATATATATATATATATATATATATATATATATATATATATATATATATATATATATATATATATATATATATATATATGCATATATATATATATGCATATATATATATATATGCATATATATATATATATATGCATATATATATATATATATATATGCATATATATATACATATATGCATATATATATATATATATATATATATATATATATATATATATATATATATATATATATATATATGCATATATATATATGCATATATATCAAACCTCAGAATTAGGGTCGGCATTCGGCAATGCCCACCTAACTGCCAACCTGAAAGTATTTAAGGTCGGCAAAAAATTGCCGACCTCGTTTCTATATTTTATGGTCAGACCCTTGTATCAAATAATTTTTGCCGACCTGATGCTGTCCTCAAAAACCACATTTTTCTAATTCCGAGGGTTGATATATATAAATATGTGTGTGTATAAATATACAGGCCTGGTTTTAAATAAAAAATGCTTAATGTATTAGCCTAAGGGGTCATCCATAAATTATGTCGCGCAATTTTTGACTTTTTTTGACCCCCTTTTATTTTATAGATATAATTTTCTCTCTACTAGTCATGTTAGTGTGGCTGAGTGAATTCTGCTTCCGGCTAGTAAACCGAGAGTTCCATCTTTGTCTCTCGGTGACTAAATTTTCCTATTTTTTTTAGAAAGTGTACAAAGGTTGTTTTTTTAAAGTCTTCTCTAGATTTAAAACTTAAAAAAAAAAATCTTGTCACAAAATTGGAGACCCCCTCCCCCTCGTAACAAATCTTCATAAAATCGCCTAACAACCCCCCTCCCCTCTAAAGCATGACATAGTTTATGGACAACCCATAATATGAATTTGACGTCATAAATTTCTCTTAATTTTTTTGTTTTTAAAAAATATTAACTTTTTAAAATTACTGCAATAATATTAATTACCGCGAAACAAGTTAAATATTATTTAACTCATTTTTTATTATTACTGTTACAGTGAAGAACCCAGATTTTTTTTTCAGGGGGTTGGGGATAGGTAGGTTTTGATTACCCTTCCTTTCTCCCCTAGTTAAAACCAATGCTGCAACAATGATT